TGTCATGCTGCTGAAATAAACCAGGTTACCAATGTTGAGAAATGAAGTATTTTTAATATGCAGAACAAATACAGTGCAAACTTCCCCACCAATGTACCCCTAAACCACTTGGATTGAAAGAGCTCAGGAAAATACACTTCTATAATAATAATACCTAGCTCTTTTTCATCAGGAGATCTCCAGGTGCTTTACAAAGGAAGTCAGTATGATTATTAGTTTATTTTATATTTATCATAGTATATTGGAGTCCCAGATGTGGACCAAGACCCCACTGTGCTAGGCTCTAAACAAATACAGAACAAGAAGACAGTACCTGCCCCAAACAGCTTACTATCTAAGTATAAGACAAGTGGAACCAATGAGACAATATTTTTGTTTTAGGAAAGGCTGTATCTTAGAGATGTTATGCAGAAAGAATCTGCAAGACTTAGATCTTGGTTGGATGTGACCATGTGAGGACCTGGAGAGAGGTCCAAATTGAAGATTATGGTTAAGGTTATGGGCCTTATAGGGACATGTAGAATGGTAGTGTTGTCCACGAGGATTGAGAAAGGAGGTAGTGAGGATGGTTTTGTGGGGTTTAGATTAAGAGTTCTATTTTAGCCATGTTGAGCTTGAGTTGATGGCCAGACGGCCACAAGAAGATGCCAGAGAGACAAATTGAGGGTAGGTCTATATGCAGCGCTCCAAAAGGGAGGGGTCAGCACAAAACCCATTCTGCTTTAGCAAGGGCACACTCAGTGGAATTAAAATGCAACCCATTTAAAACTGATAAAAGGAAATATTTTATACAATGCATAATCTGTGGAACTCACTGAGACATAGTGTGGGGCCAAAGGCTTAATGGGTCTCAAATAGATTTATTTATTTTTTTAAATGGAAAATAACATTTACCATTGCATTAGGGATTATGCAAACTGATGAGGGATATACACCCATGTGCATGTACTCTTGTGCTTTAGGGCATAAGTCAAGCATTAACTAACTGAAGGTGGGGGGGAAAAAGCTTCTTCTGTAGGCAGGTACTGCGGATTTTAAAATCACGTCTTATTTTAAATAAACTTGTCCTGGCCATTGGCAGAAACAGGATACTGAACTAAATTGCCCCAGTATAGAAATTTCTCTGATCATAAATATTATAAAAATGCTGTCACTTTAACAAGATGGTGACTCTAAGCATTCTGTGGGTCCTGTATACCAGTAGACAACATTTAATAAAGGGCCATCATTTTCCCCCCAAGAGCTCAAACTATACTGAGGACATATGCATTATTTTAGCTTTAAAAAGGATTCGAATATTTAAATATTTGTATTACTATAGTTGCGTTTTGGCTCGGAATATGCACTATTTTTAAATGGGATTGTTGAAACGAAGAGCACACTGGTAGGCTATTGGACTGTATAGACAAAACTGTGCATAAGATCTTGTGTAGTACTAATTTAAAGCAGGGCTGGCTCAAGTTATGCTACCATTAAGCAAACTAGCAAATGCCCACCCATAGCAGCCCACCGTCATCCACACAAACAGTTATTGCTGTAACATCAATGCCCCTAATATTTGGTGGTCTAGTGATTGCCTACCCATGTGGTAAAGCTGGGGCATAATTTATCATTAGCCAGTAAAATTATGAGGTGGTAAATTTTTTGCCTTCTTTGGTCTCTTGTCAGGTTGTTGCACTTACCCTAAACAAGCATGGCAAGCTCCTGGGTAAACAATGACATTTTACGTTTTGGGTTCCACATTTCTACAAAGAACCCCACTAAAATCCCACACAATCCTGACTGTAAAATCCGAGGAATCCAGTGAGTATTCGTTGATAGGCCAGTGCATAAAAAGAGGGTGATTGGGGGGGGGGGGGATGCTGCCAATATATGTGATAGAGAATTAAGTGGGGTGCTGGGTAGCAGCAGCAGGAAATCCAGATGCTGATCTAATTTATATAGAGCTTGATTTTCAGAAGCTGACTAGATAAAGCAAAACTCTGATGGCTCAGACACATCTGGGGTAGATGTGACACTTGAGAAGTGTAAAGAGTTCCAATTACTATATTGAAATGTTGTTTGCAGTGTTGTAGCCATGTTGGTTCCAGGACATAAGAGAGACAAGGTAGGTTTAGTCCACTTTTATTGAACCAACTTCTGTTTGTTTGTGAAGGTTGAAAGCTTGTCCCTTCTACTAAGTTATTCCTCAGGTCGGGAGAAGGTAACCAAAGTGTCTAAGCTATATATAAGAAGGGACAGATTGTTAACCATAAGAGGTTCATGCATGCTGTAGGAGACCACTTAAAACAGTGATCACCAAACGGTCGATCGCGATCTCCTGTGGTGCAGTGTGGCTGCTGCTAATGCAGACTCCCTACCTACCCCAGCCCCACACCGCTCCTGGAAGCGGCCAGCGTGGCTCCGGGGCCAGGAGTCTCCCTCTGTACACTGCTCTTGCCTGCAAGCACCCCCTCCTACAGCTCCCATTGGCCGGGAGAGCTGTGGGGGCGGTGCTTGCAGAGAGGGGAGTGCGCAGAGCCACGTGCCCCCTGTCACTCCGCAGGGGCATGTTGGCCCCTTCTGGGAGCAGTGTGGGGCCAGGATAGGGCAGGGAGCCTGCCTTAGCCTCATTGCACCCGCTGCCCACTGGGAGCTGCCGGAGGTAAGTGCTGCCCAGCAGGATGCTGCACCCCATCCCTGAGCCCCCTCCCAGAGCCAGCACCCCAAACCACCTCCTGCACCCCAACCCTGAGCCCCCTCCTGGAGTCAGCACCCCATGCCCCCTTCTGCACCCTGAACCTCTTTCTGCACCCCAAGCCCCAACCCTGACCCCCTCCTCCCAGAGCCTGTACCCCCTCCTGCACTCCAACACTGCCCCAGCTCAGAGTCCCCTTCTGCACCCTAACTCCATCCTAGAGCTTGCACCCCTCACCCCCTCCTTCACCCGAACCCACTGCCCCAGGCTCAGCGCAGATCCCCCTCCCACACAGCAAACCCCTCGGTCCCAGTCCAGAGCCCGCATCCCCTCCCGAACCCCTGTCTGAGCCTGGTGAAAATGAGTGAGGGTGGGGGAGAGTAAGCAATGGGGGGGGGAGGATAGAGTGAGCAGGGCAGAGCTTTGGGGAAGGGGGGGGGTAGATCCTGGGTTGCCCCTAGATTCAAGAAGTGATCTTGGGTGTAAAAAGGTTGGAGACCACGGACTTAAAATGAAGTGGGCAGTTAAGGGTTAGCAGGCAGTAGGGTGTGTTACACATTGTAATGAATCATAAAACTGTTGGACACTATGAACTTACAGAGGCAACATTAAAGTTATGAATGTAAGTTCCCAGATTTGTCTTTTGAAGGTGTTTGTGCAGATTTCCTTTGACGTCAGGGACTGAGTGATCAGCTATGGGAGTGATTGCTTTGTGAAATGTGCTCATCTCTGGGTGATAAAATGTCTTCGTCATTTATCAGTTTTCTGTGTGAGTTCATTTGAGACCAGCATGATTGTCTCCCACATAGTTGTTGTGGCATTTGATGTGGTGTACCTTTATCCAATGCATGTTATGAGAGGCATGTAGGACCAAGGGATCTTGAAAGGTATGTTGGGGGTATTGATCCTCATAGCAGTGGAGATATGTTTACAGGTTTTTCATCTGTTCTGAAAGGGTCTGGTCTGTGGGATGATGATGAGCTTGGTGAAGTGGGGGGGGGGAGAGGGTTGTTTGAAGGTCAGAAGAGGGGGCTTGCGAGAAATTTTTGAATGTGCCAGACAAGCACAGATTTTTGGGACCGTACATGTTAAATGGATTTTCTGGGGAGTGAGTAATTCCACAGTTGTGAGGTTTGAAGGACTGATGCTACCAGAGCCTTATGCTGTAGTAGCAGTGACCTCTGGTAAAGTTTTCATTGTTTTCACTATAATGCTTTTACTTAAGGAAACACATTTATTCTTGGAAAGAGTTGTGTGGTAACTTGGAACTGCAGTGCTGGCAATACACTATCCATAGCCCTTGCAGAGAAAGCGAAGTACAGGCACTGGCCTTTTAGGCAAACTAACTTGCTGAAGATAGTGCAGGGAGTTGTGCAGCCTTAAAACCCCGGTCAGAAGGGAGTGAGATGGGTCTCTACCCAGGCTTGGTGACAGCTAGGAGCCAGAAACCTTTCAGCAGGTGCCCTTTGAGGGACCATGGAGTGGGAAATACAGATGCAGTTACCCTGAAACTCTGATAACATAAAAAGATATTTCTGAATGTTCAGTGATGGGTTGTAAACTTCCCTAATCTTGCAACTGTTCCATGTCAGTCAATGGGGATGTACGCTGACATTAGTGGGGTTTTGAATGAGTGTAAGGGTACACCCACATAGAGCATTTCTCAGGGTCTTAGCTTTCCTGATTAGTCACCAAGTCACAATGTGCAGGTACTGAAATTGGATTTAGATTCTAGAGGACCAGACTGAGTTTTTACTTTCGGAGTTAGCAGTCCATGTTGAAAATCATGTTTCTGATGTAGGGTGAAGAAAGGATGTTGAGGCTTCTTTAAACCTTTTTTTCTTTCTTTACCAAAAAAAGGCAGTGGACCCCACCTTAAGGAACAATCCAGGTGCCAATGAACAGCAGCAGCAAGAGGAAAACCTGTCACAGAGATGGCACAAAACATGGAACAAAGATTATAGATAATAACTATTTGTTAAAGAGGCAACTTATTCCATACCCACAGAGAGGCAACTGATGAGGAGAGGTATAGCTAGATCAGTCCTGGCTCTGGATTCTTCCGGACATTGAGTAGCTGGTGTTCAGTATAAGTGACATTATGAAAAAAGATGATATTTTAAGGGGAGGAAAGGTGTGAGGATAGGGTAGTTTGGAGAAACCTTTATCATAAGTTAGTCATCAGGACCACAGATGACCGGTCAAAGGGGGTACTGAAACTGATAACTGATTAACATATGGCTGACTGTCTGGAGCAAAGTAGGATAATATAGAAACCCCTTCAAGTAAGAGATGTGCAGGATACTGTACTAGTGATTGGGCTATGCAGCTCTCAGACGTGAGTAATGGTGTGCCTTCCGTGTTGGTTGGTGGTACTATTAAGATGGGCAATCTATGTGACACTGGTATTTCAAAGCCTAATTTATCCTGCCAACATTTTTAGCAGTAGTAAAGAGGAAGAGAAACCAACTCTCCAGAGATACTCAACACCTTGCAGGCTCACATTAATGGCCCACTTCTTCAAACACTTATGCGCCTGTATAGTCTCATTCAAGTCAATGGGACTACTTATGTTAGGGTTACCATATTTTGAGCCTCCAAAAGGAGGACACTCCACGGGGCCCCAACTCCGCCCCTTCCCCAAAGTCCCCACCCCAACTCCGCCCCCTCCCCTGCTTCCCGCGAACATTTGATTCGCAGGAAGCCTGAAGCAGGTAAGGGGGTGTGGGGGGAGGAGGCGCGGCCCAGCCTGGCCCCCCGGCGTCTCCAGCCTGGGTCGGCTCAGGCTCTGGGGTGCCGGCCCGGCCCCCTGGCCCCCGGCCGAGCACCCCCGGCCCGCCCAGCACTGCCGGTCCCCGGCCCGGCCCCCGGGCCCCCGGCCGAGCACCCCCGGCCCGCCCAGCA